CATTTATTCAGGACTTGGGAGGGCAGGTGGAGCCCAAGCATTAGTGAGTTTTAAAAGCTCCCAGGTGATTCTATTGTGCAGCTGGAGGTGGGAACCACTGGACAAAAAGAAACAAACGCAAAGGAAAGTCTATATGCTTTTTCATGCCTGTGCTTTTAAGCCATTCTGACCTTTAAGATAACACTAAATTCTCAGCATTGAACTCAGGTTAGAGGATAAAAGAATCAAGGTCCTGCTTGTGTTCGGGGTTTGCCCAATTGTCTTTTATATTAGGCCTCTACAATCATAGCGAATAGTTTTGTTTATTGGTGTAAGGATTGAGTGAGGTAGTGGAGTCCCATCTCGCTGAGGGATTGTGGGAGAGTCTATGTTAAATGTTTGCTGATGTGCTTCGATTGTAGAGTCAATCATAGGGTTTGGTATTGATTGAGCACAGATTGCATCTCCTAAGAGCAGAATGCTTAAGCTAAGCATCCTAGTGCTTAAACTAAGGATTCAGGGGAATGTTATGAAATGGGGGTTAGCAACCTTTTTCTATAAAAGGTCAGGTAGTAAATATTTTAGGCTTTGCAGGCCACACAGCTCTGTTGTTTGTAGCAGGACAACGGTGGACGGTATGTTGTTAAATTACGTCTAACCTAAAGCTGCCTCCTTGCATATTTTAAGTTCAGTCTAAAGGTTTCTCCATTCATAGTGAACTGTAACCTAACTGATGTGTGAACAGACTGTAGTCTACTCTTGTGCCAATCGCTGATTTCTGCCCCTCAAAAGCAGTCAACTGGCCAGGCATGGTGGCTCATGCCTGTAATCCCAGGACTTTGGGAGCCGAGGTGGGAGGATCACCTGAGGTCAGGAGTTCAAGACCAGCCTCGCCAATATGGCGAAACCCCATCTCTACTAAAAATACAAAAATTACCCGAGCGTGGTGGCACGCGCCTATAATCCCAGCTACTCGGGAAGCTGAGGCAGAATTGCTTGACTGGGGAGGCAGAGGGCGCAGTGAGCCGAGATGGCGCCACTGCACTCCAGCCTGGGCAACAGAGCAAGGTTCTGTCTTAAAAAAAAAAAAAAAAAAAAAAAAAAAAAGCAATCAACTGTTCAAACTCTATTCAAATAAGGCAAACACTGAGCTATAACCAGTCCAGCAGTTTCTGTATCTCACTTCTGTTTTCTGTCACTTTCCTGTTTCTGTCCATAAACCTTTGAACACTTGGCAGCACCAGTCTGTCTCTGACCCTATTCTGGCTTGGGGGATGCCTGATTCATGATTTACTCTTTGTTCAATTCAACTCTGTTACATTTAATTTATCCAAGGTCTTTCTCTTAAAAATATAAATGAACAAGCATTGCTTGTGTTTCCATGCAAATTTGAATTTTGTGTCATTTTTATGCCTCCTTATCTCTTCTCTTTTAATTTCTAAAAATCATTTGAAAAAAACATTGTTAGCACATAGGTCAGGAAAAACAGGCAAGGGACCAGATTCAGCCAGAGTTTGCCGACCCCTGTTGAAAAGCTCTCTCTTATACCTGGGCGGGAAAGTAAAACTGTAGAACTAGCCCACAGCTGGAAATTAGGAGACGTGGGTTACAGCACCAAGTACCTGTGTCACTTTGGGCAAGTCATTTACTTAGTATGTATTTTCTACATGCCAGGTACTGGTCTATGTGTCAGTGTCCAAGAAAGCCAGAGGTGGACAGAAGTGAAGGAAAACTTCATTTAGTAACAATGGCAGCAGGAGAAGAGAGACCTCAGTATAGAACTGGGCTCCTTTCTGTATATGCAAGTATTCAAAGTGGGGATTTATAGCCAGAGAGCAGGGCTGGGGAGTCAGATGGAAAATGGAAAATTACTAAGAGGAAATGTCAAGGATAAGATGGTTTCTGGTTAAACTGACTTGATAGGATTATCACTGGGCTGGGCTCACACCTGTAATTCCAGCACTTTGGGAGGCAAAAGGGGGAGGATTGCTTATACTCAGAAGTTCGAGACCAGCCTGGGCAACATAGTGAGACCCCATCTCTACAAAATGTAGAAAAAATTAGCATGCCTGTGGTCCCAGCTACTTAGGAGGCTGAGGCGGGCGAGTCGCCTGGGCCTGGGTAAGTCAAAGCTGCAGTGAGCTGTGATCACACCACTGCATTCCAGCCTGGGCAACAGAGCAAGGTTCTGTCTCTAAAAATATAAATAAATAAATAAATAAATAAATAAATAAATAAATAAATAGGTTTATTGCTAAAGGCAAGTATGGGGAGGAAGCATATCTTTCCTTCTATTCATCCTGGTTTTATGACTGAGGCCTGTATAACGAAAGACAGATTAAGAAAAGCATACGAACGTATTTCATCTAAGTTTGATGTGGCATAGGAGCCTTCATAAGGAAATGAAAACCTGGAGAAATGATTAAGCCTGAGTATTTTTGTGCTAGATTTGATGAACAGTGGAGAGTCGTAGAGAAATATGACAGGATGAAGAGTGTGACCTAGTGGTAACAAACTGGGGGAAGGTCAGCAAGCCCTGTTCAGATTCTTTTCTGTCTGTATGTCTTTGGAGATAAGGGTGTTCTTCTTCTCTGGCTATAGGCAGGGCACTTCTCACCTGAAGGTTTTATGATCTGCTTCGAAACAAAGTCATAAAATTGCTGCACATGATGGCTCATGCCTGTAATCCCAGCACTCTGAGAGGCTGAGGTGGGCAGATTTCTTGAACTCAGGAGTTCGAGACCAGCCTGGGCAACATATTGAAACCCTGTCTCTATCAAAACTACAAAAACTGAGCCGAGCGTGGTGGCATTCATCTGTGGTCCCAGCTACTTGGGAGGCTGAACTGGAGGATCGCTTGAGCCTGAGAAGCGGAGGTTGCAGTGAGACGAGATTGCACCTCTGCACTCCAGCCTGGGTGACAGAGTGAGACTCTGTCTCAAAAAAAAAAAAGCCAGAAAATCCGTCTGGGTTTTATGACCTGCTTCAGGGGTGAGGGGCAAAGGAAGGTGAGAGGCCCCTTCTCCACATGCTGTTTCTCCAATTATTTTGGATTAAAATATTCAATATGCCAAGGTGCTACATTTGGGGGTTGGCGTGTCCTGAACCCCATCACAGGCCAGGGTGATAAAATATCAAGGGTGGGGGGTGAGGAATTGGATCAAAAATATCAAAGGTGTGCATTTTCGCTAGACTGATTCAGCAGTATCTTGTCAAAACTAGATAGAGTCCAAGGGTGAGGATAAATGTTTTAAAAGACTCAGAGGAGCCTGACAAAAGTTTGGTTAAAAGGGCGGCGGGGGCAGGGGGAGGGTGCGGGGTTTGGCTGCACCCAGTGGTTCACACCTGTAATCCCAGCACTTTGGGAGGCCAAGGCAGGTGGACCACTTGAGGTCAGGAGTTTGAGACCAGCCTGGCCCACTTGAGGTCAGGAGTTCGAGACTAGCCTGGCCAAAATGGTAAAACCCATCTCTACTAAAATACAAAAAGTAGCCAGGCTCGGTGGCATGTGCCTGTAATTCCAGCTACTTGGGAGGCCGAGGCAGGAGAACTGCTTCTAGCCAGGAGGCGGAGGTTGCAGTGAGCCGAGATTACACCACTGCTCTCCAACCTGGGCGACAGTGTGAGACTCTCTCTCTCAGAAAAAGAGTTTTTGTCAGCTGAGTCTGGTGGCTCATGCCTTTAATCCCAGCACTTTGGGAGGCCAAGGCAGGTGAATCACTTGAGCTCAGGAGTTCAAGACCGGCCTGGGCAACATGATAAGACCCCATCCCTATAAAAAATACAAAAAAGTAACCTGACGAAGTGGTGACGTGTGCCTGTGGTCCCAGCTACTCAGGAGGCTAAAGTGGGAGGATCACTTGAGCCTGCAGGGGTGGAGGGTTGCAGTGAGCGAAAATTGTGCCACTGCACAATCCTGCTCCAGCCTGGGCAACAGAGTGAGACCCTCTCTCAAAAAAAAAAAAAAAAAAAAAAGGCAGAGAGTCTTTGTCATTAGAATACGTCAGTGAATTCTAATAATAAAAGACAAATATTTCTGTCCTGTGGGCTTATATTTGGGGGGAAGGGGAGACAATAGCATAATGAGAAATTATATAGTATATTATAAGGTGATAGATGAGTTAAAGGAAAAATTCTAAATGAAAGGTAAAATCATGCCTCTCATACAAATACAAAATTAATACATGACAAAGATTTCAATTAACTCATTAATTAATAAATGAATCAATTAAGAATTACTAAAAGTCTGAGTTTGACCTATTTGCAAGCTGACTAGTTAGCCTTTCACAGTTCCCACAGGTGCTAGCAGAAGACACAACACTCCCGGGTCAGAGACAAAGGACCATATTACTCATAGCAATTGCAGTAGCCAGGGTATCAGCATTTCCCTACACCATTTCCTTAAGCCCCCAATCCCCCAGGGTAACACGAAGAGGGGCAGGCAATACCTACAAAAGTATTGAGTTGTGTAACAAGAGAAGAACCCTAAGCTTAGAGAACCCCAATCTTTTATACTAGACAGTAAGCATGTCTGTCCTTTGCTCCAGAGAGAGACAATCTATCTTTGAAAGCCATAAGCAAACTACTCTTTGTGCCAAAGGGAGACATTCTCTTTCTTCCAAGGCTGTTTGCTAAACAAATATCCTTGAAAATATAGTCCAGAACAAAGGTAATCAGTGCCTCTACTCAAAACATGCAGAAATGTCAGAGACCCAAAGAGAATTGTCTACTAACACCAATAAGAGGGTACAACTGGTTCAAAGGAGAAGTCAAAGCAAATACATATACAGGCACTCAGAAATGCTGAAATGAATTTACAATTAGAGGCAAAACTGGTCAATATATATAGGGCAGCCAATTGCATCACCACCAAGCTCTATTTGCATTTCTATGTATCAATAAAAGAATCATTTACATTACTATCATTTTTATACAACATAGCTCAAAGACAATGACAAGTGAAGATAACCTATAAAGGTATAACTACAAGACATTTTTGCCCATTTCAAAGTCTTTCACACACGCTCACTTCAGCAGCACATATACTAAAATTAGAACAATACAGAGAAAATTAGCATGGACCCCACACAAGGATTGCATGCAAATTCATGAAGTGTTCCATATTTTTGTGGATCGGATTAAGAAAATATGGTACTGTACACCATGAAATACTACACAGCCACAAAAAAGAACAAAATCATACCTTTGCAGCAGCATGGAGGCAGCTGGAGGCCATTACCCTAAGCAAATTAACACAAGAACAGAAAATCAAATACGACATGTTCTTACTTTTAAGTGGGAGCTAAACATTGGGCACTCATGAACATAAAGATGGCAACAAGCCCAGGCGTGGTGGCTCACCAGCAACTGGGAGGCTGAGGAGGGAGAATTGTTTGAGGCTAGGAGTTCGAGACCAACCTGGGCAATGTGGCAAATCCCCATCTCTACAAAAAATACAATAATTAGCTGGGCCTGGTGGTGTGTGCCTGTGGTCCCAGCTATTCAGAAGACTGAGGTGGGAGGATTGGTTGAGCCCAGGAGTTCAAGGCTACAGTGATTGTGCCACTGCACTCCAGCCTGGGTGACAAAGTGAGATCCTGTCTCAAAAAAAAAAATAGGTCAGGATTGTAGGGCAGAGAAAGGGGCAGTAGTTAGAGTTAAGTTTTAAATAGGATGGTCTCAATGAGAAGGTGAAATTCAAAGAAATACTTGAAGGAAGTGTGGACATTCATCATGGGGAGGGATAAAGGGCAATCCAGGAAGAGAGAGCAGCCAGTGTGAAGATACTGAGGCAGGTGCATGCCTTACTTGCCGAAGGAACAGCAAGGAGACCAGTGTGCTGGAGTAGAGTGAGTGGAGCAACAGAGGAAGAAGTAGAAGGTGGGATCAAGGATGTGTTGACTGCCAGATAATATAGGGCCTTAGAGATGTTTGAAGGACCTTGGCTTTTACTGTGTGTGTCATGGGAGGTCACTGCAGAGTTTTAAGCAGCGGAATGACAGTGATTTGACTTAGTTTTAAAAAGGATCCCTTTGACTGACGTGTTGACAATAGACCATGGCTGGGTGGGGAGGTCAGGGGTGAAAGTGAGTACAAGCATAGAAGCAGGTAGACTAGTTGGAAGGTTATTTTGGTAATTCACATGACAGAGGATGGTTGATGATGACTCAGACCAAGATGGCAGCAGTATTACTGAACCGAACCTAGGTCTGCTCTCCCAGCACGGTAAAGCCAAACATCTATACTGAAGTTTGCAGTGGGAGAAAGGAGGATGTTTATTTGCAGGGTGCCAAGCAAGGAGAAACAGGCAGTTCACACTGAAGATCCACCTCCTGGATGGCTTACAAGCAAGGGTTTTTAAAGGCAGGGGTACATTTTAGGAAAGTAGAAGTTACAGACAAAATCATAGGTCAATCCATGGAAACTATATCTTGGTTTGGACCCTGAAATTGGGATATCTTGAAGATCAGGGGGCCTTACAGGTGGATTTAGAGATTCTTTGATTTGTAATTGGTAAAAAAAAAAAAAAAAAAAAAAAAAAAAAGGGAGGCTTTTTCAAAAACTTGAGGTCAGCAGGAAGGAATGTTAAGGTTTGGCCTTTGGGCGTGACTCTCTCTAGGCCCCTCAGGAAAAGATTTATAATCAAGGTCAGTGGTCAGAGCTGGGTCCTCAGTTCTCCCTTATCTGAGGTCTACTCAGTGGTGGTCAGCATTTTCCATTTCATGGGTTCCGGGTTTCTGAAACCAACTCAGGGACATATGTTGTTATCTTTAGTTTCCATAGGGAACCAAACATCTGTGGCTCTAACCTCCTTGGGTGGCTATTATTTTAAGGTATTTTTACCGTCCTGTTTATTAAATTATTCAGTTACTTCTCAAGGCTAGCTATGTACCTGGTATTTCTCTTGAAGAGACTCAAGATTTTCCTTTATTTCCATGTTTGGGGTAGGGGTGGGCAGAAGCCTCCTGAGATGTGGTCCCTGCTCTGTCTCAGCAGTGACGAGATGTGGCCAATCCTATTCTAATGTATTTTGAAGGTTGAACAGCTGATGGGTTGTCCATAGGGTTTAATAAAAAAAGAAGAGTCAAGGACACCTCCAGGGCTTTCTGCCTGAGCAACTGGAAGGATGGAGATGCCACACCTGAGATGGGGAAGGTGTAGGTGGAGCAACTTTGGGGGACACTCACCCTTTCTGAGTCTTACCTGTTAAATGGCTGGTTCAGATAGGGTGTATGAATCAATTTTGACTGCTATAACAAAATACCTTAAACTGGGTGACTTAGAAAGAATGGAAATTTATTTATGTTGGTCCTGGGGGCTGGGAAGTCCAAGATCAAGGTGCTTTACATTCAGTGTCTAGTGAGAGCTTTATAGACAGCATCTTCTTGTGGCATCCTCACATGATAAAAGGGGCAAACACTGTGTCCTCAGATGGCATAAGAGCTGGGGAGCTCCCTTCAACCATTTTAATGAGGACACTAATCCTATTCATGATGGAAGAGGCTTCTTGACTTAATCACTTCCCCGAAGTCCCTACCTCTCAATACCAACACAATGGAGATTAGGTTTCAACATGAATTTTGGAGGGACACATTTCAGACCATTGTACCTCTATCTTTAGGAGATTAGTCCCATAGTTTGAGAGTAAAGCAAGGTCAGGAAGGGAGCAATGTAGCATTCATCCTTCTTTATTAACTCTGCCTGGACCAGGGGTGAGATCTTGTTTCCATCACCTCTTTGGCCACTGGGTTCCACTCCAACTCGCTTTCAATAAAAAGGTTAGGGGTAGATGGTGAGGGACAGGAACAGGTGACAAGCATGTATTAGTTATCTGTTGCTGCATAACAGCATTACCACAAACTCCTGACGTACAGAAACTATGAGATGATAAATGTGTATTGTTTCTTAGTGACCTGTTATTGTTTCTTAGTGACCTGAGACAGCACACACCTATCATCTCATAGCTTCTATAGGTCAGGAGTCTGGACACAACTTAGCAGGATCCTTTGCCAGGCTGCAATCAAGACATAGCCAGGACTGGATGACTGGGTTCTCATCTGGAAGCTCAACTGTGGAAAGACCTACCACCCCACCTATGTTGGTTGTTGGTAGCATTCAATTCCTTGTGGTTGTAGGACTGAGAGCCTCAGATTCTTGCTGGCTGGCTGCTGAGGCTGCCCTCAGCAACTAGAGGCTGCCCTCAGCTCCTTGTCACCACATAGGCCACCCATATGGCCACTTGCTCCCTCACAGTCATCAAGGAAAAGCATAAGAGACAGTCCTGCATGATGGGCATTTCAGTCTTATGGAATGCAATCGCATACATCCTGTCACCTTTGCTGTACTAAATTGGCTAGAAGCAAGTGACAGGCCCCACCTACACAATCAAGGGGAGGGGATTGCACAAGAATATGACTACCAGGAAGCAGGGATCATGGGGGCCACCCTAGAGTCTGTCTGCCACTAAAGCACCTACTACGTGCCAATTCTGGGCTAAGCACATTCATACACATAGCCCACTTTCATTCTCTCAATCCCTTTGCATGGTGCTTTTATTTGCTCCAGTTTTATGAGGAAACTCACACTTAGAGATATGAAGCTGGAGCACTGCTGCTTGGTATTCAAACCTGAATATGTCTGTCTCTGAGTCTGGGCTCTTTCTATGGCATCTAAACTGGATCATCCCAGGGAAGGAGGTATGGGGATCAGGAAGGTGCGATTCCAGACTCTGTATATGACTCCCCCTCTCTTTCTGTCTCCCAACCCCAGTCTCCAGTCGTAAGAAGGCAGTAGAGGCAAAATGCAGCCTGGCCTGCGAGTACCTGAGTGAGGAGGATTACATGGACTTACTGTGGACCACCCTCTCTGAGTTTCCAGGTGAGGGACCTGTGCAAGGTGAAGCTGTGTCAGGCAAGCCTGGGAATATGGCAATTGTTCAGCCAGTGGCTCTGTCTGCTCTACCTGAAAGAAAATCCCATTTTTAGTCAGTGAGGGACTTTGTTTTTCAATTGTTAACTATAAGTTGTCAAGAACTGTGAAGGGGCTGAGATGTTACCCTACTTGAAGGCTGTCAAGTTAGGCTGCCCAGTTTCATGCATACTGGTGGAAGACATGAGACTTCTGGGTCAGAGACAAAAGACTATTATAGCAAGCAGCTTGAGTAATACCTTGGTGACTGTTTCCCTTGCCCCCAAGTCCCACGGGGATGATGAGGAAGGACCCAGGTGGAGGCTACACATGCAATGGATTTACAACACAGCTGGGGAACCCCAAGCTTAGGGAACCCAAATATTTTATAATGGCCTGCCAGAAACTTCCCTAAGGGAGACATCATCTTTATTATATTGGACAATAAGCAAACCTGCCCTTTGCTCCAGAGGGAAACAGTATCTGTATCTTCCAAGGTTGTTTGCTATACAAACAACTCTGACATGGTAGCCTGGACCAAAAGGGAAGCTGGTTCCTCTGCTCATAAGATGTGTAGAAATATGAGAAACCCATGGAGAATCATCCTCCAACACTAGGCACACTGGAAAGGAACAGTAGAGTGTCAAAAATCCAGACAAGCATGTGATGCAAAGGTGATCTATCTTTTTTTTTCTTTTAAGAGGAATAATTATTACAACTACAATAACATCTAGTACTTATTGAGCACCTATTGTATGCCAAGGCCTGTGTTAAATGTCTTACAGATGCAATCTCATTTAATCTTGTGAAGTCGTTTAGTTATTCCCATTTTACAACTGAAGAAACTGAGGCTCAGAGTGGTGACATAATTTGCCCAGTGTAGCAGAAACTGTTCCCGCAACTTGCAACTGCCAGGATTATGTGCCTGAAGACTATCTCAGAAGGAATGAGAAGTCTCTGTATCTAAAGCAGGCAAGGCAGCTGGAAGTGCCAAGGAGTTAGCACCTGGGAGCAGCCTTTGAACAATACTGTGGGATTTGGTGGACAAATACCCCAGCGTTCTTGCCCATCAGCAGGAAAACTCCAAGGCACATGTTCTACGCTGGCTTTTGAGTCCCCCAGTGGAATTCAGCTCCAATTGCCCACAGTAATAACTTGCTTGGTACCCACCTTTTGTTAGTTGCATTCCCTTCCCAAATTTACTTCCCCACTCTCCTGCTG